ACTAGAGTAGTCAAGTAATGCTGGTGGCTGAAAAGCATTCGGCACTTCCGTTTTAGCAAACTGTGCAACAGTATCAAAAACACTAATGTCTGCTGTGTGTATTCATATTTTTGCAAAACTTCCATTTTTGCATCTGACTCAGCAAGAGCAGTCTCCATAGCATGCATTTCTTTTCTGGCCTTTATTGCAGATTCAATTCTTTTTTGTTCAGCTTCAAACTCTGCTTCGCAACGTTTTTCTTCTGCTTGCAGCAAAGCCTCTGCATCTTTTTTCTGCATGCCAATCTGCTTCTTCTTTTTCTATGGCCAATTTATCCCTTAAAGCTTTAGCTTTTGCTGTAATGCTGCACGCTCCATGTCTGCCTTTAACCTGACTGACAAAGCTGATGACGACACACTTCCAGATTGTGATTCAGGTCTACTTCGACGTTTCGTGGTCGTTTTGGAAGATGTAGACTTACTATCTTCTGCCTGTTCAATACGCTTCATGACCTCTTTCATCCATTCTTCACATTTCCAGAAGAAATCATTCATTGACTTAATTTTAGGATCAAACCAATTCTTCTGATTCTCCAAAAATTCTGCTTCCGTCATAAATCGTTGCAAACTAGAATTGAGGTCACAAAATTCTTGCTGCAAACCATTAAAGTCAACACGTAGTTTATTTTTCACGATGTCCACGTTAGCATCATCTTCCATGAATTGCTCAATTTGCTTTTCCATGCTTGTTAGCAGGGATAGCTTGTGCCTGCGTGCATTCACCTGTTTAGCCTTATGCTCTTCTACAGCCTTTTCCGTCATTTTTACTTTTCGTTTTTCAGTGTCCTGATCCTCCATGACGAGTGAAAGTTCCACACTTATTTAGCAGAAATGGTGGCTGAAGAATGAGCTTTCTACGTACGTGAGTTCCACTTCAGTCAGTCTTGTGATGTCTTGTCCTCGTAACACCAGTAAAAAAAAACATGCGCACACACACACACCCATGCGGTCCTTGTGTGCTAGCTTCGATCCAAAGACTATGGCAGAACCATAAAAGATACAACTTACAGCGTGTTTTCCTTCCAAAACATCCGTGAAATCTGTGAAAAGCTAGTTTTTCCTTCATCCGTTTCCGTGCAGTGCAAGTCTTTTGTCTAATAATGTGGTTCTCCACTGAATGAAGCCGTAGCTTGACGCTCCAGAACTCCTCTCTTAAGTAAGTTTCATCCAAAAAATCCACGGGACCAAATGATCAAAGTTTAAATGTTTACTTAAACATTAATAAACAAAAAACAGATACAGGTTAGTCCAAAACTATACAAAAAGAGAGATGAGGAGAGAGAGGTCAAAAGACTGTGTGGCTCCACTCTCTACTAGCCCGAACTGAGCCCAATTAAGTCCACAAGCCCCTCCCCTCCCAGATCCAATGAACACAAAGTATTACATGCATCCATAAATTTAACATGATGAGCAATAAGGCTCCTACACATGTGGAGAGGACAGATCTCTCCAACCTGTGTGTGCACTGCACCATCTGTACAGCCGATCAGAAAAAGACATACTATTTCTGCTGGCAGTGTCAGAGGGAGTGGAAGGTTTCAGGCCCCAGATCTGACCGCTGTGAAAATGACGGCTGCATCAACAAGGACCTTCAACTTCTGCAGACATGTAAGACCATCAGTCTGCCTGATGTGGAGGGGGTCACTGACTGCCCGTCAGTGCGAGCCTGTCCTACATGTGGCCTGAGTGTGGAACACAGTTCACAATACTGCAAAAACATCAAATGCCCTCGCTGTCACATTGAGTTCTGTTTTGTCTGTCTGAAACTAAAGCTTGAGTGTAACAAAACAAGTTCTTCATAGAAAAATCTGTCCGAGTGGTGTGGCCCCAAGACAGACCTCCATCCCTGTGTGGCAGAGGAAATGAGGGGAAAAGTGCAGGATTGTGGAATCCTTTTATCTGAGGGTGTAAAACAGCTCTTACAAAGAGAGTCTTTTTGGATGAATACATTGGAAACCCTGCAATATCATAATCTAATTGGTCAAATGGACCTCTATCTTTTCCTCTAGTTGTCAAAGTCGTCTGAGGTGGTTGTAAATTCAGTCAATTATATATAATACTGTATATCATGATGTGACTGGTTGTAAATCTTTAAAGGAAGTAGCTTGGAGGCCATTTGTACCCGTTCTGATAAGGCCTGGCTGAAACATGTCTGCATGTTTTTATGAGTCCATTGCCCTGATGAAATAAAGTTTTTCTTAATTATCCCTTTGACTGCCTCAGACCTCTTCAATGACTTTTAAGTTTGATCCCAACACTGGAAAGCAGCAGGGATACATTCTTTTCATTAATTCTGTAAAAATGTTTCGCACCAATGGAGCGCTCCACCTGCTTTTTGACAAATTAATATATGATTGTCAACTTTTAATGTGTTTTCTACTATGTTTGAATCCTCCTTAACAAATAAAAAAGGACAAAGGGACACATAGAAAATTATGGCCTACACTAACAACATATTCAAAAAATTCTCATTAAGCAGCACTTTTTTTGATTAAAGAAACGTTTATCCATGGTCCACATTGTTGTCATGGTCCTGCATCAGAAAGTTAGTTACCCTGGGTAAACATGTTCGTAAGTATCCACTGTCAATATGGCAGTTTGATTCCTAGATCAACACTAGCACTGCAATGTAAAAAATAAAACTTAAGGTCGTTTGTGGTGGGTGACCCATTTTCTGTGAAAGACGGTGACCTCGTTCACCCTCACACTGAACACGGCATCCCACAGGGCTGTGTGCTGGGTCCTCTTTGTTTTCTCCTCACCTGAACTTAACACCTGTACATGCATTGTTCCACCACCAACACCATCTCAAGTTTTGAGAGGACACTATACCTTTGTTAGCCTCATGAGCAACATTTGTTCATATTTATGAAAGGTGAAAATACGATTTCAGGGCCTTAATGCTTTTTATGCACATTTATTACAAGAAATGAAGGTTGTTTTCTTCACTTAAAGAAATATACTGCTTTTAAAATCCATATCTTTAATCAGTAATATTGAATGGGAAACTGCTATGTTTTGTTTCATTTTATACACAAATAACTGCAAATGTACTTTTGACTCTTAGTCATCAAAATTGTTTAAAAGAAAACAGAAATTCAAAATAATGATTAAAAAAAGAAGCCATTGTACTCTATATGTAATTTAGTTCACCATCACTTTGGTAGAAACTTGCAAGTAGACATTTCTGAATTCATCTTAAACGCTGACATAAGTCCTGCCCACTCTCTACATCAAGGTAAGTTTAGAGTCGACAGGATAATAGCAAGTATCACAATTAATAAACCACCACAAATGATGAGAGCAATGCAAGGTGGTTTCTTCAGGATGTTGGTTAACTTGTGCATTCTGGAGGGAAAATAAGACAAAAATTATTTCCTCTGACAAAACATTTGACCTTTGATGAATGAATCAAAATTTCATTTTTAAGTAATTTTAAGGTTAAGGTATGTAGTAGGTTATGTTTTTGGCTATTGTTCATGATCATTTATTGTGTTATTATATTGAGTAAGAGGATACAGCGATTACAAGGGTATGGGCGCAAATATATTGACAATGTATTGTAAAAAGTGAAGGTGCACAATTTAAACAAAAGAAGTGCATGTAAGTTGTGTGCATGTACCCTTGTTCACCTTTTGTGATCAGTTAGACGGAGAGGTGAGCTGGGTTATCATGAGCCAATGAGTTTTTTCTTTCATTAAAAATCAAATATATTTTTTAAATCTTGGTTATATTTTTTGTCCAGCGGATCAGAAAATGAACTTGGTCCAACCTCAGCCTCTCAGCAGCTCCAAGGTTGTTAAAATGGAAATGCTCATCTCACCTTCTTGTCTTTTGCTTTGCTGCGTTCCCTCCTCTGCCTCTCTGTCCTGACGTGGTTTTTCCGGTAAGAGAGGATCTTCTTGGATGAGGCTTGAAACTTTAACTTTTCTGTTGCGTTCCCGTTGGTCTCCACTCTGTTCATCCTGTCGATGCTCCACCTTGTCTCTAAAACCCTCTGAGTCTTTTAAACAAGATGAAAACAATGCATTGATTAACCATCATAAAACATTTTAGTCAACAATGATATCTGTGTTGTCTTACCTCTGTACACGAGCAGATATGCAGTGCTGGAACTGTTGAACAAATAATTTAAGTTACTGTTTGTTGCATGCCATAAAAAGCTAAGCACATAAAATAAACATTTAGATGATATATCTCAGACTTTTATTCTTGGCCTTGAAAACAGAAGAACCCCGTATCCATTAAGCTCTGCAAATGCTCAGCAGCTTTTAATTATAACACATGGTCTTCTTAGCACATTTAAAGACATGTAGTTAATTTTGGTTTCAAGGAAATAAATTCACTGAACATACTTGTAAGTCTGAGAGTTTGCAAATGGTTGTTCCTCAAGCTGCAACATTCATCAAAAACAAATTATTATTGAGGTTTTTTTTTACGTTTTAAATATGGGAAATTATAACAGATGAGTTCAATTCAACCTCACCTTTCTGACGTGACTGTCATTAAACTCACACCAGGTGTTGTCCTCTTTGGACAGGATGGTGGCTGTGTAGTGTCCTCCTTTAAGGCTGCCCATGTGATTCACAATCCCACACAGTGTGTACATCTTGTTCTACAGTGACAAACACAGTCAGTTACATAATATGATTTTCAAAATCAAACACAAGGAAAAGCATTTAAATGTACTTCCTCTTGCCTGTCTCTGTAATGTATGTGGCATCACTACCATGCGGTCTGATTTGAAATGTGACATGGTGTTGTTGTCAAAGTCAAATCTCTTTAGAAGTAGAACCAGAATACGAGGAAATTCCAGCATCTCACATTCCTGAAGAAAATACACACATTTTGACATCAAACATATTATGTTCAATAGACGATTGTAAATGAAATAAAAGCTTTAAACGAGTTACATCAGAATTTGGTCAGGATACTGTTGGTTTATTAACTCACTCTGGTGGCCTCTGTTTTCTTTCCACATTGCTCACAGTACACCAGGTTGTCTCCGATGAAGGATTTTGTCTGGAAAACGTTGTCAAAGCCACTCTCCTGGGAAAACATAACTGTAGGCTAAGAACGGCTAACCGATCTCACTTTCAAATTATATATTAATATATTCAAATTGCAACCATTTTCCTGTGACATTACACTTAGAGTAAGGAGCACAAATACTGCTTTAATGCTGTGTAGAACAATAAACAACGACACAGGGAATATTTAATAATTTAAGATAAAACAACATAGCTGAAAACCAGTTAGCCACATGCAGACAACAGCTAAAGTTAGCATCCAGCCAACTTTTCATTTAAAGGAACAGGCACATGTTCTGTAAGCTAACATTTACAGTTAGCCAGTCTTTGGATCTCTTGGTGTTACTGGAAGTTATAATAGAAGAAAAAGCGGATATAACTACTAAACCAGACTTTTATCGGCTCACCACACTGAAGGTTGAATTGTTAGCATCCTTCAGTGACAGTGGAAGAGTCAGAAATGGATTCGTCTCTGTGTTGAGGTTGTGGCCTTTGGAGCATGTTGTCGAGTATTTCAGCTGTCCTTTGAAAACCTAGAGAGAAATATTATGAATATTTTTGTAAACAAACAATATGTAAATAATTATGATTAATGGGAAATGATGTGTCAAATGTACAAAATATGAATGGGCTTTTTATTTTAATTGTTTAAATGTTCATATTTTTTTCAGGATTTGGATCACAGATGTTTCTGTTTATGATTTTTTCTGGTCCTATCTATTAATGTGTCTTCATAAAGATCCTGATTTATAATGACATGCTCACCTGGGAGGCCTGTGGGCTGACTTTGTGTAAAATCATTTCCAGGCATTCAGCAGCATCACGTTGTTGATGCACTAAAAATGAAACATGAAATTCAACTGAAACGCCACAAAAGCATTACTTTGCAGCTGCAGAGGGAACTTCTGCTCCACCTCCTCATTAATGTTTTATGACGGTCACTGGTCAACTTACCGTCTGTAATGTCAAAACTGTTTGTGATGTCTACTGTCCTACATGTTTCTGTCTCCAGTTTTTCAAAGAGGTTTCTCAGCTCCTTATCTGTATCGGAGTTTTGATCCAAACTTGAGAAAGAACGGGAATTATTTAAATCATTCTTCTAAAAATGTTCTTCCCTTTTATTGTTTGTTTAGTAAATCATTGTAATCTTATGAAGGAGTATTGCTGTCAACAAGTAAAGAAATGTACCAGTACAATGTTAAAATGTGGTAAGTTTATTGATCTAACAATATGGTTTTTCCATCTTATAATGTTGAACTTCTCATGTTATTAAAGTTTACAGACTTAAAACAAAAAAAGATATCAAGGTTTATCTTTAAAACTACAACTTTAATGTACAATAAAGTCTTGATCCAGGTCTTTACATTAGCAAACCAAACAGTGTCAAACCTGTTGTGAATCTCAGTTGTCATGAAGAGAACCTGCAGAACACTGTTGAGGTAACATGTTGCTCCCTGATTACTCAGACCGTGAAGTTTCGGTGACTCTGTCAGGAAATAAAAAGACTTACCCTTAAAATGTAGTATGTACATTTAGCGTATGTAAATTTGGCAAATCTCTCGGATATACATATAAAACATTAAGATATGAATAATACATTATCTAATGTTATATTATGTACACTATACTGTGTTAAATGTTTACTCAAAATTAAACATTTTATGTTTTATGATTACTGTAATTTTAACTCAACCTTATGTTTTGGTTTGTGGCGATTTTGGCGCCCCCTGTGGACACATTAGTTAATCTAGTCTGTGCATGTACGTCATGTTTCAGGGCTATTGTTTCATGACAAAAATCTCATCCGTCTTTCTCTTAACAATCTATTGATCCTAGTGAACATTTTCTGTGGAAAACTTTCTTTTTTAAAGTGCTGTGTCTTCAGCTTGCTGTTGATCACATTGTCTAACACCTTGTGACAGCAGTTTCAGGCATTCAAATGTACTCTTTAGTAAGAGTCAGTCTTGTCACTCATTTCCTTGTCTTCGTTAATAAGCATTAATATGCCTCAGTATTAATTTCAGTCTGTTTTACAACCAGATAAAAATTCCTCACAGGAGCTTTAATGTCAATGATTGTCATTTGAATCATATGTATCTCTTCTCCTTACCTTTTTGTTTCTTCTCTGAGTCCATTTCTTTTCTTGTTCTTTTCATGGGGATCACTTCACTTGTCTCTTCCCTGAAGATAACAGAATAAAACTATATCATTTTTAATTCAGGCAACTGATTCATTTCCGTTTCAGACATGCATGCTAATGTTACAATTTCAACTTTATTTTCCCAAACAGCCCTAGTTTATAATTCTTTTTAATGACGAAGCACAAACACAATACACTCTTATCTCTGGTACCTGGTGCCTATGTTAAAATAAACCCTTTCCCCTGAATATTCTATCCTCTTCATTCTCATTCCCTCCAATATTACTACTTAGAATTTGATGTCATAACTTTAATTAAGAGATAAAGCAAAGTCCTGCATTGAATACTCACGGCAACAAAAAGCTTCCTACAAAAAAAGAAATAAGCAGAAGACATATTTCAAACAATTAATTTTGAGGTTAACTTTTCGTTTCTCAGGAATTCAATATGCTACTGTTGGTTCGTACCTGTGCGATTCCCCACCATGCGTCTCAAAAGAAGAACAGTTTAATGATTCCTGTTGTAGCTCAGAAAGTCTGCACACGGGATTAGAAGTGCAAATCCAAACGAGAGAGAAAGACTTCTTTAAAACGTTTCAATAAACCCCAGTTATCGTTCAGACATTGTTGCGCTTACAGTGTTCTAGTTTACGTGACGTTTGCGTAAATTAATCAAGGGGTAACACGGATAGAAGATTTGCCACTATCTTACATTTCATACAATAATTCTTAACTAGATATCCACACATTTAATACGGGTGGGAAATGACAGCCAATAAACTCCTTACAAATAAAACACAAATTAATATCCGCAGATATTAAATACAAGTCGGTTCTTCAAATCAGTTTAAAACAGCATGATTAAAACACTTAGCCTAGGTTGCAAACAAAGAGAAAAAGACACTTACAAACGGCTTGCGATCACATCGTGAAACCAGTAACCAGTAGCCTGTAGTGGAGGATGTGTCTTCTTCTACTGGTGCCTATTATTGACAGACAGCTTGCGTCGTGTCCTGGGCCACAGCCTACCTCCCACATTTCATTTAATGCCGCCCTCATCTATTACCAGGCAGAGTCTTCTAAGTGTTATGAACATGAACGAAATGATTTAGGTGGTTAGAAAGATTATCTTTTGTTTTTTAAGTGGCTCTTAATTTAAGAAACAATTGTATTTGAAAAAATGGAGCACAATAATAAGACAGCCTATCGCTGGCTGTATTTGGGATTTTTGCAGTTGCATCGATACTTTTGCTCAGACTTCGAAATTGGTGTGTTTACATAAATTTGTTCTTTAAAGAATAGTCAGTATGTCACAATCTAACATTGTGTTTCAACACGAAATTAGTTAAATTGTTAAACGTGAAAATAATTGAATAGATTATTTGAACAGTGTCACATTTGTTTCTGTTTCCATCTTGTATATGCAAACATAAAACATGTTTACCAGTATTACCTGGGCACCTTTTTGTACCCTGCTAAAGTCAATTTTGTAACCTTTGAAAAGGCAGACATATTTGTTGTGATCAATTGAGGTACAAAAGTGTCACTCTCACCAGAGATACAAGTTTGGTCTCTTTGAGGTAAAAACCACCAGGGTACATTGAAGTACCCCATATCAAGGACAAGCCAGTGGTGCCTTTAGGGTGCTGCCCCAGTGACGAGCCATTGTGCCCCAAAGGTATCAAATCAGTTCTCAAAGTGTACTGTTTTAATTGTTATTAGTTTATGAAGGGTTTTTTTGTATTTAATTTTCTTCTGAAATGTATAATTTGTCCCTTTCCTGTCACCCTGGCCACCACAGATGACATGACAAAGTGTAATTATCATATGGCATTCAGCCTGTAAAGTCAGTGGTGAGCATCATGCTTTTATTATACCAATCCACCCTCAGACTAATGACTTTCTGTTACTCCTTTTCCCAGAATAAACCACTTACCTGCCAGAATGTTGTTCAACTTCTTTCAGGTGAAGGTCCTACCTCATGTTGATCAAGACACACCTGTTCACACACCTTTATTGATTATATCCTTCTTAACACACAACAAACTTTTTTAGTTCTATTTTTGCCTTTAATTCCAGTAATGAGAAAATGCCTGAGGATAAGTCAGCAACAATTACCTGACAACGCCTGCTTTGCTTTGAGTTTCGTTTCATTTTTTTATGTCAACTATTCTTTCCATTACCTTTTTTTTGTTTTTGCACATGCCAACAAATAATAATGAATTTAAAAAAAGGCATGGCAATTCTGGAAACTCCAGTGGTTATATAATAAGTTGTCATATATATGACAAGTGTCTATATTATGTCTATTAAAAACCTTGTTTCATATATCTTTGATATGTTTTCTTCTGTGAGGAATAGCAGGATATCTCCTTTCTGACTTTAAAGAAATACAATAGTGATGTACTTTTTAACTGTACTTTCCTTTTTGGTGTTAAAATCCAAAAGTATGAAAAGCATTAAACTAAATCAGGGTAAACTTTTATATCATTATACAAATGTTATACTTAATTGATGCTGAATTAATGCATGATGCATGAATTAATGTAGGATGTATCGTTAATTCCTGCTGCTCACCATCAACTAATGTGGGGAAGTCACCATAAAATTCATTCATTGAGTTCTTTTTAACACATCATAAGTTAAGGGAATTTAATTCACAGCTGCTTCATACATTACTGTACAGTAACATAACATGACAATTTGGCTTCTTCTGCAGAAGCCCTCTCTTCATCTGTTATTGATGTCAACAAACATTGAGTTTAGTTTAGTTTATTATCTTTTCCATTTTTGTTGCAAGGCAGGAGAAAACAGATCATTTGTATTGTATTTACTGCTTCTCTGTCCCTGCAGGCTTTAATAACATTAAGTACTGTAGGCCTACAGTGTATGTGTGTTTTTGTTAACGTACATTATAAAAGCTGTCATACATGAAATGCAGCTCAAATGATTTTAGAAATGGAAATCACAGGATGATCGTCATATATTGAGAAAACAATTTTAACAAAATTGTAACTGAAAAATAAAGACAAATTCAAATAACTGAACTCTTAATAAAATGTTTAAAATACAGAGCTCTTGTTCTGTTTCATGCTAAAAGACGTTTTTAGATTCAATCAGATTCAACCTGAGCAATTGCATGGTTCTAAAATAATAATTAAAATAGTGTATGATAACAGTAACTTAACAGCCAGCACTGTGTTTTAGGCTATCTCCATTCTGAAACCTCAACAATAAAGAGTTTTATAGCCTGGGGTCATTTGCGTCATTTTTATTGTCATTTTACTGCATTTAGACTACTTCCATGTAATCTAGATTGCAACATTCAAATGCTGTGAAACGTAGGATATGTACAGGCCTACATATTCAGAGTATTGATTTTATGACAAATTCAAAACAAAGAGGTTTTAAGAGAAGGGAAATTCAACAATTTATTTTCCTGCAGTTCATATGGAACATATGACAGCAGTGTAGTTCAGAGTCTTTGTGTTTTTTTCTTCTTTGTCTTTTCCACATTTATATTATTTTGATACACAGTCAATGGTTCCACATCAGTTTCCTCCGGGCAGAAGTATAAGAGTGTGGATGGTAGAAAGGTGACGGATCCCGTAAGCCATCACCAGAGTTGACTCCTCCAGGGTTTCGGCTCGGAACACAATCCGGACATCATCCTCTGTGCAGAAATAAAAATAACTCAGGTCTGGCTTTTATAGATAAACACATTCAGAAGTTTAAGGCTAATAAAACGATAAATGTTTTCTGATCTGTCAGAAAAACAAATGTATTTTTCCGCGTGGGTAGGCCTATGTTATAATAGTCATATAACAATTAAGAAATAGGGGACTACTACTACTACTGAAAATGAAGTGAGACGTACTTATCCCGAGGTCGTTTCTGATTTTCCGTTTAAGCTGCTCCACAGTGATGTTCTTCATCTGCTCAATGTTGTCACACAGATCGATGATCTTTTCTTCTCCTCTGGGACCGTGTACATTCACCTGGATCCCCATTTTGCAACCAAGCCAGATCAGAGCACTGCGGAGAGACGTGTCCAAGTGCAAACGATCCCAGTGCATTTAAAAGGTAGGAGGGTGTGTAGGATATCTGAAATGCGTCACCTATGAGCTGATTGGACATCATGTGACTTCTAGACAGGTGAATAAACTACTGGAGCTACACATCCGTTGTTGAGACGGAGTCGAGATGGGGAACAATCCGCCACGTCAACGAAGATCCACGGAGCCAACACAGACCAGACCATTTGGAACTGCTCCCATGAGAAGATCTTTGGAAACGGAGACAAAATCAAGGAACCCAGCTGCAAACAGGAGATGTGTATCCCATGCGCTACGACCTAGAGTGAGGACAAAATTAACTCCATCAACGTTTGATGCTGAACCAAGTAACTCATCGGACAATTTGGAAACTGGACCAAATGTTGCTTTACAACCAGAGAATTGCACTTCGACAGCTGAACAGGAGGAGAGGTGTTACGACCCAAATGACACAAGGTTTACATTCGTCGATGGAGAAGATGAAATGGATTGTAAGAGAACAGAACCCCAAATTAATCTGAATTTTATTAAACATATAGCCTATAATAAGGTGAATTGGCCTATACTTAATATTTTAAGGTTATTTGGAGGTTTTCAGTTAATTAGGCTACTGAAAAATCGATAGCCTAGTTGTAAAGTTGTAATTGTAAAGCAGCCTACAGCCTTTTGTATTTTGTTGCTATAGCCTACTCACAGAAGAAGTGTTTAATGTTTTCATTGCAGCAGAACATTTTGGGATATGTCCTTTTTTCAGGAATAAGTCAAACCCTGAGGCGTGAGCAGGAAAACAGAGTTAATGTTAACTACAGGCAGCAGTATGCCTTATCCTGTTTAGCAATCGACCGTGGTATAAGGTAAATGATGCACTTCAAGGTGTTCTTCATGAAGGGACTTTAGACTCTGAAAAACAGCTGTCCTGATCTCCTCTCCGTCCATAAATTCCTGATACCTGACCTGACACCTTGTTGGGTGTCATTCTTTAAATACAAAACTAACTACCACTGTCTGTTGCTCTTTTTCTCTCTAGTTGAGCTCAATGACTACAAGTCTCTCAGAGCAAAGATGTCCTGTGGTCATACTGTGACTCCAACGTCTCTCATCAACTGGTGTCGCAGCAGCTGGACCAGGTATTAGAAAACTATTATTTTGTTATGTTTCTCCACATTTTCAAAACTGGAAAACAACTATTAGGTTGATTGTCAGGCTTGTTCTAGAGCTATGGATCTTATGAACTATGAGCAGTAGATTTACTTTTTATTTTTTGTTTGAATCCACTTCGTGTCTTTTAAGGCATGAGGATTTTAAATGTCTATTATTTTATAACATTAAGGACTTCTTTTCAGCTCTTCATCTGTCACTTAATTCATGGTGGTAAAAGTAAAGGACAGTGGCAATTAAGTACATTTGATTGATTTTCTGTTTAATTCTCAAGGGTAAGATGGAGTTTGTTTGTGGCCTATGTGATGCTGTGTGGTCATTTGAAGAGGTTTGCAAAATGGCTCTGCTGACTCCTGCAGAAACAACATACATTGAGAGAAGAATGTTCAATAGAGTCGCCAAAGAATACTTTGGTGCCAAAAAAGTAAGTATCTACCAATCACAGGTTCTAAGAGATATTGTGCATTCATACTGAAGATGTTTTTATTATTTGTTTGATTTTCAACCAAATTCACTCAACAGTGTCCCGGCTGTGAGAGTTTAGTGGTGAGAGAGGACCAGAATCACCTGAGGGTTTGCTGCACAGTGTGCACACGTAACAAAGCAAGGGCTTACGAATTCTGCTGGCAGTGTTTGAAGAAATGGACACATCCATCTGAACATGCCGACCACTGTGCAAACCCTGAATGTGTTAATCAGCCACTGGAAATCCTGAGAAAGTGTCCCGAGATCACCTTAAAGGATGTTAAGATGGTGATCAGCTGTCCCTCTGTCCGTGCCTGTCCCACCTGTGGGTTGCTGATCGAGCACAGCACAATTCAATGCAAAAGCATCGTCTGTACCCGGTGTGAGAAGAAGTTCTGTTTTGTGTGCTTGAAGCTCTCTGCAGACTGTGATTCATATTACAGTGCTTGCAGCGATGGTGTCGCCCCAAGACAGACCTCTATACCAGTATGGAAGAGGAAATAAGATGACGTGTGAAAGAATTAACAATGCTGTAGTTTATTTTTCTGTGGGGGGATGTATTACAGCAATGTAGCAGACTGTCACTTCAGCATGTACCTTAAGTAGGAAAACTGTCAATGTTAAACTTGGTGCAGCCTGATCAAATGCCAGCAGGGTTTCTTTTGCAAAGCTGCAGAATCAAACAGTGTAAAGAGCAAACTAGTTCAACTCTATAAAGAGCCTCATTTCATATCACAAGCCATTCTGCTGCATTTATATGACTTACAATCTAGATCACAGAAGTAAAAGCTAAGCTTCTCACTCTGAGCATGACATCATGGGAATATGGTGAATTACCCCGCCTGTGACACATGTCCATGTGTAATGTAGATTATTAAATGCAACAGAATATAATCAGTTATGGTTAAACAGCAGTTTTCAGCCAAATGTATATTTTTATGAATTGCAACACAGTATTCAGTAAAGACTGAATTTATTGGTATATTCTGATCTCAAGCCAGTTTGTGAAGGTGACAGTGTTTGAGGACTGTTTGGACTTTTTCAGGGAGCCATATGGGATCTGCTTTAAAATTAGAAGGGGAGCTTGAAAACTGCCAACAACTGGTTTGAAAGACATTCACTGAGTGCAATCATTATTTTAAAATATTTCATACTGACTTCAAGTTTTATCTCTTTCACCATCATGGAAATAATTGGAGCGATAGTTAAGAAAATGGAGGGCTTAGTGATTTATTTGATTCTCAAGACACATTGAGCATCCATAATTATACAGTTTATTTTACACAATGACAGTTTATAACTCAGGGATTACTACTTCTTGTAATATTTTGCTCAGTGGTGGTAACACAAAAAGGTGTCTGTATTCTACCCAAACTTCTCTGTACATGTGTTAGAATTGGGAATAATATTATGCTCCAAATTGAGTTTAATTTCACTTTATTTATAATTTTCATCTTAGTTTTTCTGTTAGGGTCATATATATATATATAGATACTGTTTTTTGGTTTGGCCATGTTTCCTCATTATGTTTTTTTGGTATCATTTCTGATCAATATAATGTATGTAGGATGAGAAACCAGCTGATTGATATTTTTGAGCTGCGTTTGACCACAACAGGTTATCTTTATGTTTTCACATTACTCTGTTCAATAAAAATTGTCATAAAAAGGCATTTTTTCTCTGACTGAATAACTCTACAATTACAACGCAGCCTTCAGATAAATTACTAAGAAGAGACAAACAAAATTATTGAACAATTAAAGTTTATAAAGCCGGTTTTAGAGGCTGTGTTTCCTACAGATTACTGTGTTCATCTGTGCTGGTGTGGATCCTGATCCTGCAGGAGCAACATTTTCTGTAAGACACCAAGACTGCAGCCAGGAGACACACGGCAGCAGTGATGCTGAGAGATGTTTTGACACCGAAGGACAAACAGGTCCAGGTCTGGGCTGAAGTTAAAGTCCCATATGGATCTCTGACCAAAAAAGAAATACAGTGAAGTTAGAACGAGCTCAAAGTTGATAGAAAGTGCAAGTGTTGTTGCTTGTTTAGAATCACAATCACCTGATGATGGAAGCAGGAAATGTATCGACGGCATCTGAAGGAGGAGTGATGTCAGAGTACAGACACAACCTCCTGTCAGGACAGGAAACTGAACCCTGGTATCCTTCAATCTGACCGTAAAAAGCACAAAAGATATTAGATTACATCTGGTTACATTAAATAGACTGCACATTTAACACAAGACATGCTTCACTACATACAAACATTATACTATTACTTTAGAAAGGCAATAAATCAGCTGCTGTTTTTAATGGTGCACGGTGTTTAAATATGGGAATTACTCAGATTGAGTAACCTGTTTTGTCAATCACACCAAATCTTGTCTAAATGTAAATTATCAATCTTTAAAACTGTTAACAATTAAAAGCTTCTGTTTCTGTATTTTTTTTTTATGTCATTACCTGAATGCTTCCCCCTGCTGGACACTCCACCCACTCAGAGCCTGACACGTGGATTTGGTACCTGTTTGGTCCAGTACACCTGTGTCTGTAACAGCGCCCCTCCACTGTGCTGATGAACGAAGGAAACTGACTCCGGTTCTAAACAAGAGACGAGTGAAGAAAAAAATGACTTAATAATCGACTTAATATGAGAAGGTGGAGAGGGTAAACGTGACGCTCATATGAACATAAAAAAAGACTGAAAGCGTTGGCATGAAAAATAGAATTGATCCCACAAAGCTGCTTTACATCATTTGAAATTACTACAGAGCAGGAAATACTTCTTACTCCATTTTTGAGGAGTTTATACACTCTGCATCCCTCCAGGTATTGATCAGTCTTGCACTCCCCTTTGTGGAGGTGAAGGTAATGACACCCAAACCCACTGAGAAGAAGAAAAAACGCAAAAAATTTAACATTTTAAATTAAAAAGTGGCTTACATTCCTATCCAGACTGTTGTAGAGATAAACAATTATAACTTAATATACCTGCCAGAGCAGAAAAACGATGAGGATTTGTTCTGACAGGTTGACAGGGATCCAAACATGGCCCCTTCTCCTACAAATCAAACATTTATCATATATTTTATGTTTTATTTATTTATTTATTTATTCTTTTTCTATACTTACCGTCTCCCCACACCAGACTCTGTGCCCTGCTCACGTCTACATTGTACCAGCCCGTGTCCTGTAATGCAGTCAAGGTTACCGGGTTGATCCGGACTGAAGATGAGTCCGCTAGCTCTGCTGCCATGATGGAGCCCTGAAAGATCCTGGACTCCCAGTGTGAGGACACTTTGCCAGGAAGTACACCCTGCATTAACAAAGCAGAAGATCATATAAGGGAGGCCTCTTGACAAATCTGGTTAAGTTGGAGCGGTTCTGCAGCTCTGCTAAAGGATTTGAATTGAAGCTCTGTTCTATACAAGGTTTTCTAGCCATCCCCCAAGCTCAGGATCAGTGGAGTTCAGGTGCTTCTGCAGGGCTGAGATGACAGATGGGGTGTAAATCCTCATGTGGCCGGATCCGTCAGAGTAGGTCACTTTCCCTTGAGGAGAACAGTTGGCACTCTCAGCTAAAAAATTAAAAAAGAATTTTTCATCCAGGGTTAAAAACACTTTCAAAAGCATGTGAAGTCACATGGATATCTAAGCACACTTTGAAGTATACTTAAAGATTTCAATGTTTTGTGTACTGTAAAGTGCACACCTAAAGTGCCACATTTTGAGTAAATCAATTGAAGTGGGCATTTTGAAGTATATGTCAAAGTTAACAATTTAAAGTATACTTAAAGGTTTTCACTTTTAAGGGACCTTCAAAGTGTACACTTTAAGTGCTCTTAAAAGTTTAATCTTAATCCAAACTTCTTATTATACATTTTTTGATTTCCCACTTAAGTGCATACTTCAAGGGAACTTTTAAACAAAATTAAAAGTGCACACTTTTTCGTGAAATTCAAATTGCACAATTGTAGGGGCACTTTATTGCCACACATTAAACAGTACTTAAGAGAGCACACTATTAAGGGAACTTCAAAGTTTAAACTTAAGGTCTCTTCAAAGTGACATTTTTAATAGCGCACATTTTGAAGTGCACACTTTAAGTGCCCTTAAAAGTGTGCCCACTTCAGAATGCCCAATAAAGAGCACACTTTTAAAGGCACTTGAGAGTTTTTAAGGGCACTTAAACGGCACACTTTTAAGCACACTTCACATGCTGACCTCAAAGTATTATATAATCACATAAAACAATTATGTTCAAAAAAAAACCTTGAGACATGGAGGAACAGTCTCGCCAGGTGTGGAAGAGCTCTTTAGAGAAACCCAGCACATGAAACAGCTCATGGATCACAGTCTGTAACATGAACACACAAGATTCAACACACAATTTCAAACTACCTAGAACATTTTTGTTTTTTCATATTTAAAATAATACCTGTACAGCTGCCTGGTGACTAAACGTTTCTCCTTTCAGTCTTTCCCTGCAGATGACCACCACCCCGGCCACAGGTCGTCCAAGTGCATCTGTCTGGCAGTGAGCAGCGTAGGCCAAAATATTAGGCTTAGGGGACAAAAGGACGCAAGGATGAGTATAATGAAAGCATGAGCAGATAAGAATAGCTTCATCTTTCATGATTGTCGATTCAATTACAGAATAAGAAAGTGTGTATGTTAAGTTACCAATATCAAAAGTAATCATTCAGCAAGATCAACTTTGTTGTCTAAATAGGTTAAATTACAGAATTACATTTTAAACATTCCCTTTTGCAATAATGTGAGAATTTTTTTCCAAGCTACTGTCAAAAGGGATACATTTTGTCTTGGGTTTTCTTGGAGGATTTTTAACGTTAAGACTTTACAAGGGAGAATATGTCAATATATGCTGTTACAAATATTTTGGGGGTGAAAAAATCTATGTAATGACTAATAAAGATTTGATGACAATGAAAAAGACAAACGTCAGTCAATCTCTTTTCGCTTTTCTGTAATTTTTATATTGTCCTCTGCTGCCACCCTGAGGAATTTTTCAGGATTTTTTTTATCAAAGACAATTGCTCATGAAAACTTGAAATCTGATAACATACACCAAAAATAAAGTTTTACCACGATCAATATGATAGATCTCAAAGTTTTCAGCGTGTGTGTACCTTTGCTCTGCACTTGTCAGTGGACTTTATGTGAAGGTACAGCAGGAAGTCCGTGTCAGCGAGTCCTGCACCTCCAGGACGGAGCTCAGTCCTGTGAGGTGAATCAGCATGAATGTAAATATCACATCCAGCAAGATGATCGTCTGGGATCTGTAGACAGGGTTGAAAAACACATTTCATTAAGTGTAGTTCAGGGACAATCAGCAGAAACAGCTACATGCTTTAATGATACTTACCGTCACATCCAGACAGGTTTCAGTTCTGTAGTTGCTGTTGGCTCGACCACACCTGAGGCACGAATTGTAGGTTTACCACATGTATGGAATTGTGAATAGACAGTAAATGTGAGAAAGCTGTAGCTTTCCTGCTTAACCATGCTGGATCTTACTGTGTAGAACTCCCTGCAGTGATTGGTTTGGACCCACGCATGTTTCTGGGTGCTGTTGAGCATTTTGAAATTGGCACAGTTATTCAGTGAGTGCTTGTCGTTATCACAGAAAGGGCAAAACTTATTGGTGACTCGACTGGTAACTGCTACTTTGGCTGGTTCTCCAAAGGATTTGGTTTCTGTACCAAGCAGAAGAACTGAAGCCTTTGCAGATCTGGTCTCCCGTTTCATATCCTTGTGTTTTGGATTGGTATCCTTCCTTGAGCTGCTGCTGTACTGTGACATATCTTCCTGTACCTGGAGTTCATATTCTAACCAAGGGGCAACCTCCGGTCTCGAAAAATGAAGCCTATGCGGAAGTACAAAAAACTGCAGTTCCTCGAGGTTCCGCTTGAGGCTGGCTGCAGAAGCGCCGGAAGTGCCATAAGCCCACAGCCAAAAAAGCCCGTTTTTACCACAGGAATCAACATGTTTACAGCCTGGTTCAAAAAACGAGATGTATCTGAGAAGTTGACGGCCCCTTCTCCTCACACTGTGGGGGGGGGGTGAATTTTTTTATAACTCATCGGATTTTATTCTATTAAGGAAAACGACTATGCCCATATTTGGTTGTGTCAGATTTGATTGACAGCTCTGCGCGCTGCATCTGTCTGTCAGGTCAGCAGGTCAGGAGGCTAACAGCTTGATCCGTCTAATTTCTCCTCTTTTTTACTTCGTTTGGAGAGTTTGTTTAACACATATCTGACAACATACATGGCTTGCTGTGCGGTTAACAGACCATACAACAAGTTGATGCTTCAGTTTTTTTCGGTAAGTGATATAGTAGTGTTATATTTACTGCTTACTCATGTGTTTATATTTACGGACCTAGCTTGTTTAGCGTTAGCTTGTAAACCAGTCGGCTAACTGTGTAGCTCATTATTTACGGTCAATGGTTTAGAGATGTTTGTTGTTAAGATGTTGTTGTTGAAAATAATGAGTTTGTGTGATGTTAGAAGCTAAAGGTTCATCTCGGTGGTTAACCACAGACTGTAAATATGGTTATCTGATGTTATGATGAATGTTATATTCCACGTAAATGTGGACATTAAAAAACAAACTTTGTGTAGTAATTATCCGTCAGTAACATAAACTGAACTGAACCTAATGTGCTGTGTAGGTTATAGAGGATGACATTAAAGTTACATGGTTGATGTAGTGTCTTAAGGTTTGAGCAAACTGTTAACAAATAAAAAAAACTTCACTTTGTAAGAGCATCTGTAACCATTAAGAACTATATTAATAACCATATTAATTTTCACTGAACTCATACACAGAATATAGCAGTAGAAATATAAAATATAAATAACATATGAAATGAAAATAAGATATAAAGCACATAGATATAAAGTATAAGAAATAGTTTGAAGAATACAGCCATGTACTGAGCTCATGTTAATAATAAATGAGTTACTGTATGTTCTGTACTAAAGCACAGAGAGTTGGGACCTGTTAATGATTTAAATAATTCAGGTTATATTTGTTTCATGTAAAGATGAAGTACTATCCACAATAAACTGCTTAATTTTTCCTCACAAAATCTGAGACCATTTGATGTGGAATATCATTGTGTGAGTGAGAGAGCTGAAAACAGCATGATTACAATAATGTTTATCTTCTTAACTTTAAATAGACGTTGATTACCTGAATACTGGACCTTTGTTGTCTGGGTAGTACACTGTTGAATTTATAAATGTGCTCTTACACACAGATGAATACAGAAAAATAGATGAGAACAAAAAAAATGATTTAATGAATAACTGATTTTTTCTCTCTTTCTTTGCCATCCTGAAGACCCCTCACTAAAGTCCATGTTCTCCTGGATCCATGTCACATGCTCGAGCTTCTTCTGAATGACTTTTCAACAGTTGAAGTTCTGCTGAGAGAAGATGGCCAGCAGATAAGACAGCAGTACATGAAGGAGCTCCACAGGCTTCAGAAGGAGGAGGAGGGTTTGCACCTTGGAAGACTGTATTCATGCTTCAGCTGTTCAAATAAAACTAGATCTCCTCCAAACAACTTGCAATCAAACTATTTTCTTCCCATTTTAAAACCCTTTGTCCAGTTTAGATGGGAGAAGTTGATATTATGTGATATTGATCTGGGAAGACTACATTTCTAAATCATTTTTAACTGTGTTTTTATTCACCAGTTATTGATCTTATTTACTCTCCACGTATCTTGATTTAAGAATGGGGCTGTGTTTAAGGTCATCATTTTGCAATGACTCTGTTCCATCCCACTTTCAGAAATGAACTACATTAGTATTTATCAAAAGAATAAAAGGTTGTGTAAAAGTAGACTTCCTTCCCTAAGCTATTGAGTTGAGCATTAATCTGAAATGTATACTCGTAAGTAGACATAAAGGAGTGCATTTATATAGAAATATTTATTTAATCTGAAAAACAACATTAAAAAAAGTCTGTTTTTACAGCAGAGATTAACATGTTTACAGCTTGGTACAAAACAAACAAATAGGTGTGATTAGTTCATGTCTCGATGGACACACACTGTACGGGGGGGGTGAATGTTTTGATGAAGGATAAGAGTTATTCACAATAAGGCGTGTAGCTGACCAGCTTGACAGGTGGGCGCGGTGTAACGGTTTGTCAAAAGGCTTAAAACCCGTCTCAGCTCTCAGCCTGTGGGTGACATCACTCAGGCCATCCGGGGGAGACCTCCCTCACAGCGAGCTGTTGAAGAGAAGCAACCGAAGTCCACCCCAGAAGAACCAACAAATACAGATGTTGTTGAGGCTCAGGTTTCTTCCTCTGTCTCTGCAGCTCTCTGGGCACCTCGACGGACAAGTCACCAATAATCCACACTGTGTCTATAGGAGAAATACAAAGGTGTTCAATTAATGCCTCAGACAAGACAAAATGTACAGTTAACTACATGTGACAGCTCAGGCTGTTTTTTTGTTATGAGCCACATCTGCAGGAATAATATTGAACAAGGTAGCTGCAACTCATCATAATAGATGCCAGTCTTAAACACTATTTTTTCTAATACTTAAAGTTTTTGGTGTGAAGCTGACACTGTCCACAGACTCCATGACTTCACAGGTTCAATAGAAAACAAATGTCTTATAATAAATACTAAATAATTATTTTTCAATTGTCATGTTCACCTCATCGCTGTTGACATCAGTGAATATAAGACACAGACATTCCTCTTTTTGTCAGAACAGTAACATGAACTGTATGCTTTGTAATATTGATTTCTTCTGGATGTCTCATTTATTTACAGTCTATGGATAAAACTTTGTTAATGTATTTCTCTGCTAACACTGACAAAGTCTAACTTCTCTAACAAATAACTCATAAACATAATTGTATATTTAAAAAAGTGTAGTTTTAAGACTTTAATTAAATATTTGTGTTGAATATAATTCGTTTTAACTGTGTTGTAGAAAAGTTAAAAGTTAACTTACTGTTTGTAGAGTTTTCTCAGGACGAGCAGGAATAGTTGATGATAGCAGCCTAGCCGTTAGCTATGCTGTGAAGTGGACTGCTAACGTCGAGCTGAATGGGCGGAGCTAAGTCCCGCCGGTCCCGCCTTACTGCTGTAGCTAGGTTGATCCGAAGTTAGGTTGAGACTGCAAATCCAATATGGATGCGGCCGTCGATTGGACTCATTTTCTGCCTATGTCACAGACGGGTCAGGGTTCGTCCAGTAATATTTACAGTCTATGATTCTAACCAGTCCGCTAAATCCAGGAGAGTGGGGATTGGTATCCTAAGTGGGTGGATGAATCGTCGAAAACTTAATCTTAAGTCATGTGGTAGCTTCCCTAGTAGGCGAGAAACTTGCGACCCGCAGTCCAGTTCCACTCTTCCTTTCCTACCCAGCTGTTCTAACATGCTTACCAAAGATCTGACGCGCAGTGCAAACATCCTGAATGACTGGATGTCACCACTTGTGATGTTAGAGCCATCCATGAGCTCGGCAATGCGCTGAAGAGCCAGTTGATGGGGTTGCCCATATTGCTGGTTCAAGGCTGCCATGGTGTCTGTGAAGGGGTAATGAGAATTGCTATAGGAGTCAGCAATGAGCAGTGCTTCTTCCAGTTTCAGATGATCCACTAGTATCTGGAATTTGAAGTGTTCTGTCACGTCTCGAGGCAGGATGTTATCTAGAGCAAGTCGCAGTCTGGCAAACTCTCTTGGGTTAGGGTGGATGAAGTCCGGGATTGTAGGCGTAGGACCCCGATATGTCCGTTCCTGACCCCAAGGTGGACTCAATGCCCTGTGTCTGGAGTGATGACGCTCAGGTGAGTACCTATACCTCTCAGGAGAATAATCCCTTTCGGTAGGATAATCCAGATGACGTGAAACATGTCTGCTCTTGTGAAAGGGTTGAAGCCAATCTGAAAAATAACGCTCTCTGGAATTGACATGGCGCCTTGGAGAATGACGACGCTCTGTCCGACTCCTGCTTGGCTCTGGACTATAACCACGTTCATCTCTTCTGGAATGAGGTGGATGACGGATTGAGTGGTCGTCTCCAAATTAATGGTGGCGATGTCTATCTGGAGGCTGTTCACGTTCCAGGTCGTAGTCAGGATGCCTGGCCAATGGACTGGAATGACGTGTCTCTCTTTCCTGATGGAAGGTAGGTCGTTGGAGTGGTGGCTTGGGGCCACCTAAGTGCTGGACCTCTATTTGAGGTTGCACTGCTTCAGCTGGCGCTGCTCCAACCTTTAATCACTGTGCCCACTCTGGGCTCTGAGCTGCTCATTCTGTAGTCTGAGCTGCTGCATGGATACTAGAAGACACTAGAAGCATGGATACTAGAAGACTCTCTAGAAGATTCTCCAAGATGGTGCGGCCGTGTCCAGACGCCGTCCGGGTTGCTCCGCTGAGGCTGTGTGTTTTTTTTCTTTATTTATGTTGTTTTTGTGAACTTTTTTACATCAGCTCTTTCAGCAAAGATAACTTATGACCGAAATATGCTTTTGGACATAAAGAGACTGGTCACAAACACAGTTTCCAACGATGATCAGTGGTTGCCGGTCGAATTCCTGCGTAACACAACACAGGACGGGAACAATAGCCGGAGGAGGAAAAAGCATCGCGGAAGACGAGGTGGTGTCCGAAACAGGCTAAGAACTCAGGCCCACCGCCACCCCTGCCAATCATCCTTCTTGCCAACGTCCAGTCCCTGGATAACAAGATGGATGATCTGAGGGTCGGGTAAAATACCAACGGGACATGAGGGACTGTAACATCATCTGCCTGACGGAAACATGGCTCACTCCTGTGGTGCCGGTCAAGCCATCATGCCATCGGACTCGTTCTCTG